TTCACATTCAGTGATTATGTAATCTACGTTTAAAATCATATGCAGAATATACTCCTATACATTAGATTTATGTGTTTCTACCTGCATGTGTACACAGTATGTTTTTTAAAACTTTTAGATATTTTCTAAAGTCGAAAAGGGATAACACAAAATGTTTTAGATTTTGTCTCAAATCGAACACGTTTAACTACATTTTTTTCATGGAAAAATCGTGTTTTCTATTAAACGTCACTTATCTATTCTATCTTTTTTATTATTTTACTTTACATTTTAAGAAACTGACTGAACATTCCAACAAACGTTTTGATACGATATCCGAATTGTACATGAAATGTTATAGTTGAAAGTGCTATGTTTGTCCTTACTAATGCATTTGCGTGCTGCAAGTCCTCAGTACAGACTATATATATATATTCAAGAGCAGTTTGCAATATCTTAGTACATCATAAATTGTTGGCGAGAGAGAATGTATATATGTGATCGATAGCTTATGATAAACATCAGCGTTCATTCTGAGAAGTTGTGAAGTTGCTGATTTGTAAGTGCTAAATCTCTGGGCTGTAAGAACTGCATTGGCGGATTGTTGGAATAGATCATGTTTAAAGTCGCTTGTGAATATGTACTCTCTATAAAGGCCTTTAAGTATGTACATATGTAAGTATATTTATAAATATATATATACATATATATATGTATATATATGTATATATATATATATATATATATATATATATATATATATATATAATATATATATATTATATATGTATTTCTGACAAAGATATAATCGATTATATCTTTGTCAGAAATACACACACACACACACACACACAACACACACACACATACACATATATAACATATACATATATATATATATATATATAATATATATATATATATATATATATATATATATATATAACACACCTTTCGTATTGTGAAGATATTCGTTCTCATTATATTCTTTCCACATATATACCCATATATATATATATATATATATATATATATATATAGTATATATATATATATATATATATATATATATAGTATGTATGTATGTATTTGCAGGTTACGTATAAGGTTCAGGTATCTCCCTGTGCTTCCCAACATATCTCAAAGGGAGCTCTCCTACACGCAAACACACACAACACGCACACACTGACACGCACACGCACACACGCCTAAACGCCATATAATGGAAACATGAAAGCTTAAATGGCCAGCCGCATGACCCAGTTAGGTTCACAATAAGCATGACAGGGACACGCCACGCAGTTCAGGTGCCTTGGGTATGTAGTGACATGGTATGGTGAGAATGCCAGTTTGGTAATGATGGTATGGGTTGGTGTGGTGATGGTGTTGATAATTACTGTGATGAAAATGTTTTTGTTATTATAGTATATGTACATGTGATTACTATCTCGATCTCTCTCACTCTTATATCTCTCTCTTTCTCTTTCTCTCTCTCTCACTTTCTCTCTCTCTTTCTCTCTCTCTCTCTCTCTCTCTCTCTCTCTCTCTCTTCTCTCTCTCTCTCTCTCTCTCTCTCTCTCTCTCTCTCTCTCTCTCTCTCTCTCTCTCTCTCTCTCTCTCTCTCTCTCTCTCTCTCTCTCTCTCTCTCTCTCTCTCTCTCTCTCTCTCTCTCTCTCTCAGAACCGGTGCTCGACATGACTCTCCAGCCACCCACTATCAAAACACAACAAATAAACAAAACTTGAACCTTGACCTCACCTTATCCCCCACAGACTGGTCGCGGTGACCTCTCAGTAGCACTTCTACGTCGAAGTTGACCTCCGTATTCGTGGTGTCCTTGTAGGTCACGCTGCTGAACCTATCGAGGATGTTCTGCAGTTCTGGGACAGTGCGCAGGGTCGGCAGGTAGGAATCCAGCTGTTCATTGTAAGGTTATTTCCATTATTAGTAGGACTATTACTATGGCTATTGATATTAATATTATCTTATCATCAATATTACCATTGTCGTTTATCATATCATCATTATCATTTCATCATATTTCCTTCTCATTCTCATCCTCATCAATCATCATCATTATTATTATCATATCATCATTCATTCATTATTATCATCATTCTCATTATCCTCATTCTCATTCATATCATTATCATTATCATTATCATTATCATTCATTCCATCATCATTATTATCTTATCATTATCATCATTATTACATGAGTTAGTTCCAATATGAAGTTATTATTAGTGTTCAAGTTTAACGACAATATTATTAAAAGTCAAGTTTTGATTGCAAGTTCACATGATAACGGTGATTTCTATGTTAATACAGGGTTAATGCCAAAACAAAATTGATATCAGCGTTGGTAAATAAAGTCATTTATCAATAAAGGGTTAACATCAGTACAAAGGTGATAGCAATGTTAACAGACAAGAATCACTTGGCAGTACAGGATAATACTTAAACACACGAATATGCAGAAGAACGTTTTCGCTATTACTGACGAAGCATTAGCGAAAAGGCATTCGCATATTCGTGTGTTTTTTGTCCTTCCCTTCGTTGTTCCTGTTGCAATTCGCTCGACATGAATTCCACACAAGGCTGACACTAACACAAAATCAATGTCAACGTCAGTAAATAAAATTCGTAAGCTAATACAGTTAAAGACAAGACGAAATGAATATCAACCTCTCTCTCTCTCTCTCTCTCTCTCTCTCTCTCTCTCTCTCTCTCTCTCTCTCTCTCTCTCTCTCTCTCTCTCTCTCTCTCTCTCTCTCTCCTCTCTCTCTCTTTCTCTCTCTCTCTCTCTCCTCTCTCTCTCTCTCTTCTCTCTCTCTCTCTCTCTCTCTCTCTCTTTTCTCTCCCTCTCCCTCTCCCTCTCCCCCTTCCCCTTCCCCTCCCCCTCCCCTCCCCTCCCTCTCCCTCTCCCCTCTCCCCCTCTCCCCCTCTCCCCCTCTCCCCCTCTCCCCCTCTCCCCCTCTCCCCCTCTCTCTCACCCTCTCTCTCCCCCCTCTCCCTCTCCCTGTCCCTCTCCCTCTCCTCTCCCTCTCCCATCAAAATCACCATTCAGCGAAGCCACAGGGAACTACTTACCGTGGCCGAGATATTGCTGGCGAGTGTGACCTGGTTTTCAGCGGTTCCAGCGAGCGTCACCCAGTCGGCAGAGGTCACGGACACCACCATCTGAACGCGGGTCACTGGTAGGAGAATCAGAGAGTTAGTGTTAAGGGAAGGAAGGGGGAGAGGGGAAAGAGGAGGGGGAGGGAAGAGAAGAGGAGGGGAGGAGGAGGAGGAGGAGAGAAGAGGAGGAGAGGAGAAGGATGAGGAGAGGAAGAGAGGAGGAGGGGAAGAAGAAGAGGAGGGAGGAGAGGAGGAGGAGAAGAAGAAGAGGAGGAGGGGAGGAGGAGGAGGAGGAGTAGAGGAGGAGGGGGGGGGGAAGGGAGAGGAAGAGGAGGGGTAGGGGAAGAGGAGGTAGAGGAATGGGAAGACGAAAAGGAGGAGAACGGTGGTGAGGGGGTGAAGATGATGATGCTAAGGATAATGACAATGGTGATAATGATAGTGATAACAATAATAATAATGATAATAATAATAATAAAGTAATAATAACAATAACTATAACAACGACAACAGAAGTGATAATAACATAATAATAATAACAACAGCAAAGGAACAGCAACAGCAGCAGCAACAACAACAATAATAAAATAATAATGATAATGATAATAATGATAATAATAGTAATAATAGTAATAATGATAATAATTGTATTAACAACATAAAAATGGTAATGATAATGATAAAATACTGATAAAATGATAATGACAATAATCACGATGATAATGATGATGACAAAAAAACAATAAAGAATAGTAATGATAATAATAACAATGATAACGATAATAATAATGAACATGATAACAATAACGATAATGATAATAATAATGATAATGACAATAAAAACGATAATGGAAATGATGACGATAACGAGAATGATACTAATGATAATAATGATAATGATAACAAAAATAACAACATAAAAGTATCAATAACAACAGCATCACCATCAACAACAACAACAACAACATCAATAACAATAACAAACTGTCAAAACCCAAAGCCCCGACTATGACGTCACGCCCCGTCGGAAAAGAGCGGACTCACCATCCTCGCAGAAACACGATTGGAACACGTCGCCGGCTTTCGGTTTCACGCCCACGTACTGGTTCGCGGGCGGGCTTGGGGCGGGTCGAAGGCGGCGATTTTGGCCCGTAGAGTTTCGTCGAATTCCGAGACGCAGTAACAGCGGTCGAGGTCGTAGGCGCGCGTTGAGGTCGACACTGGGGGGAGAGAGAGAGAGAGGGGTTGAGATGGAGAGGAGAGAAGGAGAGAGAGATGGGGAAGAGAGGAGAGAGAGGGAGAGGAGGAGAGGAAGGAGAGGGTTGAGACGGAGAGGAGAGGAGGGAGAGGGAAGGAGAGGGGTTGAGACGGAGAGGGAGAAAGGGGGAGGAAAGGGTTGAGATGAGAGGAGAGAGAGGGAAGGAGAGGGTTTGAGATAGAGAGGGAGGGAGGAAGTGAGAGGTTTGAGATGGATAGGGAGAGGAGGGGGAGGGAGATGAGAGGGATTGAGATGGAGAGGGGAGAGGAGGGGAGGGAGGGAGGGGGGAAGGAGGGGGTTGAGATAGAGAGGAGAGAAGGAAGAGGGTTGAGATGGAGAGGGAGAGGAGGGGAGGAGGGAGGAGGGAGAGGAGAGGAGAGAGAGAGGAGAAGAGGAGAGGGAGAGGATTGAGATGGAGAGGGAGAGGAGGGGAGGGAGGGAGGGGGAAGGAGAGGGTGAGACGGAGAGGGAGAGAGAGAGATGAGGAAGGAGAGAGGGGTTGAGACGGAGAGGGAGAGGAGAGAGAGGGAAGGAGAGATTGAGATGGAGAGGGAGAGAAATAGAAATAAAAGAGAGAGAGAGAGGAGTGAAAGAGATAGATGATAAGAGAGAGAGAGAGAGAGAGAGAGATTAAAGAGATAGGAAGAGATAGTAATTATCTGCACAATTACCTACACATACATTTATTCCAATAGCAAAATTCCTTTTAATGAAAAACAAAATCAAAAGCAAAAATCAGACAAATAGAATAACAACCCGACAAAAGAAAGAAGGAAATGAACAGCAGAAAAAACGAGAAAGCAAAGTAAGAACAGACAGACAATAATACAAACAGACGAATGCAAAAAAAAAAAAAAAAAAAAAAAACGATATATATATATATAAACTTACACGTCATGAGCAGAAGGAGGAGGGCGCTGTCTGCTGAGACGAGACCCGCCATCTCCTGCTCCTGCTTCGACTCCTGCTTCAAAATAAACAAATTAATAAATAGATGAAAGTTTCATTAAAAAATAATCTCGTTATCGCTTAAAAATTATATCATACTTTCGAGCTGTGTGAAAATTGCCTTCGCATTCCGTGTATCAGCTGTGTGTTTTACCGCATGGATGTTATCCTCTTCTGTTTTATCACAACTTTCCATCTGGTATTGTTTCTCTTATTTCCGTCTGTTTTGCTCTGTTCTTCCCTCTTCGTTTAGCACCAATTCACATTTATTCCATTACCTGATTGACTATAGATCATAATCTACACCATTATCACCACCATCATTACGATTACTTTTGTGTTACTTTTTACAATTATTTTCACTATTCATATTCAAATTACAATATAACAAGTACTGTTAATTTGTGATTGAAATGAGACCATGAAATCAGTCTCTGGCATAATTTTCAATGTCCAAATGAAACTGAGTGAAAACACCATAAACAAGTGAAAATCAACAGTTCAGAAGACTACATGTTGAAGCCATAAAGACACGAGTTAATGAAACGTGGGGTTGAAGCCCGTAGAGTTATCACAGCCGACCCTACCCATCGACAGTGGAAGAATGATTTGACCAACGAATCGGTGCATAGCAAGAATGATCAAACGCTTTGGTATCGTTACGCCCTGTAGTAATGATTAATAATGATAATAATAATAATTGATCATAATGATTTAGTTGTACTTCTTTCAGTGTTTATTTCGTCGAGACAGGCTGGCCGTTTCATTTTGCTTCTAAATGACCCCTTGTGTAGAGGAATGGCCGGGCTTACCATCCCCTTGGGTGCGGGATTCGAACGCGAGGAAGCAAGATGTCAGACGAGAAATCTGACGTTACAACCATACACGCAATGGGTTAGATGACCATTACCCTCTCCCAGTCCTCTTCAGGTTATGCGAAGTTAGAGGAATAAACAAAAATATGATCCATTTCATCTGTAAATTATTATTTTTTTAGTAACTATCTAAGCAAAATATCTTTGATTAAAAAATAAAAAAATAAAATCAACTGTTATTCCGTTCCATTTCATTGCAATCATCTATTTATCTATTCATTCATTTATCACTATTCTTCATACTGCGAAGAACCATTACTTTTCGAGTCTCTCTTTCCCCTCCTATAATCAGCTTAATCACCTCCGCGAGGCCAATTCAACGCCTAGCCCGAGAGCCACAGATCAACAGCACAAACCTCATATGTTGTGGTGAACGTGACTCACACCAAGGCCTCAGACAAATGAAAAATCGACAATGCGAAAGACACGTTGCGGCCACGGCGGTACGAGTAAGTGAAACGTGGCGGCTTTGTCCGCAGAGTTATCACACCAGAATGAAGATGGGTTGATTATGCTATCGGTGGTATAGTAATGGTAATATGAATGGATGATAGTGATGATTGATGATGATGATTTAGGAATGGAGTCATAATGATAATGGTGAAGGCGATGTCAGCAAATGATTATGATGATGATGAGAATGTTATGAACAAGATATTAATAATTCTGTTGATTCATTGATGATACTAATAGCATAACAATGATAAAACAATAACGATAATGATAGTATGATAACGTAATGATAACATATAATATCAATATGAATATATATATAATAATAATAATAGAGCAATAATTAAATATAATAATGTTAATAATCTTAAGATGAATAAGACCAATCATGATACTGATATAAAAGACAATATAATAATAACAACAATATAAAAACTGATGCAGTTCTGAGTAGTAATAATATTCAGAATGTTATGATAATACAGATACATTAATAATAAGTATCATGATCATGCTGAGGATACTGATCGGGACAATGATAGTCTCAATGCTGCCAACTTCCCATCATGCAGTCAGTACACCAGCCATAGCCCTCGTCTACACACACATACACATACATACACACACATACACGTACACTATCATCATATGTAAAGGCTCATTACTTTTCGAAACTGTCTCTTTTCCCCTTCTATAATTAGTTTCATTACCACCACACTCACACAACACAGCACGCACATGCACACACACACACACGCATACACACACACGCACACACACACACACACACACACACAAAACACACACACACACACACACACACACACACACACACACACCACACACACACACACCACACAAGCACATACACACACACGGCGCACACACAAACACACACACTGCGCACACACAAACACACACGCTGCGCACACACACACACACACACACAAACACACAACACACACACACAAACCACACACACACCACACACACACACACCACACACACACACACACACACGGCGCGCACACACAAAACACACACACTGCGCACACCACACAAACACACACGCTGCACACACACACACACCACACACACACACAAAACACACACACACACACACACACACCACACACACGCACACACACACACACACGCACACACACGTGCACACACACACACACACGCACATACACACACACACACACACGCACACACACACGCACACACACACACACACACACACGCACACACACACACACACGCGCGCGCGCACACACACACACGCACATACACACACACACACACCGCGCACACAACACACACCACACACACACACGCACCACACACACACACAACACACGCCACACACACACGCCACACACACACACACACACACGGAGAATAAAGGGAGTGAACAGAAGAACGGGATAGAAATAGATAGAAAACGGAGAAGCGATAATAACGGCAATAAGTGGTGTATATGATGATGAAAGAATAATGATAATGATAACAATATTGATGATGGTGATATTAATGATGGTGGAAATAATAAATAGAGAAGAGAGGTAGGGAGAGAAGAGGAGAAGGAGAAAGAAGGAGAGGAGGAAAAAATAAATAACATGATGAAGAAAAGTAAGAATAAGAAGAAACAGAGGATAAAGAAAAGAAATTGAAAAACAACAATAAAAACAAACAAAAAGAAAAGAAAAAAAGAAAAAACAACAATAAAACAAACAAAATGTAAAACAAAAGAGGAAGAGAAAAAAAAAACAATAAAAAAAACAAAGGAAAAGAAAAAAAAAACAATAAAACAAACAAAAAATAAAACAAAGAGAAAGAGAAAGAGAACAAGAGAAAAAGCGAAGACGATCCACACACAAACACGAAATCCCCGAGACACACGGAATGGAACACGAACACAGCATAAATCTTTTTTTTTTTTTTTTTTTTTTTTTTTTTTTTTTTTTTTTTTTTTTTTGCCATAAACTTTTTATTTATCACTGTTTCTTTTCCTGCGTTTTGGTTCGTGATTTCATTAGATTTCGTTTTTGATCGTTTTATCATTATTATGATTATCATTTGTTTTCATCATCTAAATCAATGTTAATTTTAAAATGTCATTTTATTATTATTATTGTTGTTATTTATTATATACCTTATCATTTTTATTATTATTACTCATTACTGTTTATCTGTCTGACTGACTCCCCCCTTCTCTCTCCCTCTTTTTTCTGTCTCTCTCTCACAATCCCTCTCTCTCTCTCTCTCTTTCTCTCTCTCTCTCTCTCTCTCTCTCTCTCTCTCTCTCTCTCTCTCTCTCTCTCTCTTCTCTCTTTCTCCTCCTCTCTCTCTCTCTTTTTCTCTCTCCTCTTCTCTCTCTCTTTCTCTCTCTGTCTCTCTCTCTTCTCTCTTCTGTCTCTCTCCTCTCTCTCTCTCTCTCTTTCTCTTTCTCTTTTCTTTTTCTTTTTTCTCGTTCTCTTCTCTTTCTCTTTTCTTTTTCTTCTTTTTCTTTTCTTTTCTTTTCTTTTTCTTTTCTTTCTTTTTCTTTTTCTTTTCTTTTCTTTCTCTTTTCTTCTTCTTTT